GAATCCGAGTGAGGAAAATATTTGCAAGTCTGAGGTGGTGAGCCCTAAGCTCAACGTGTATTTCTTGGTTGAGCCTTAGTGAGCACCACATTTTATTTCTGTCCTATGTTCCTATATACCCGCCTATCAGCATAACTATCGACATCATATTTGCTTTCATTGCAAATCAAGTCTGTTCAAGAATACATCAACACACAACCGTTCATGTGGTTATTGCACAGAGGCGCAAGTTAGGAGATAAGGAGGTCGCCAAGACCTCCCTTCACAAACTCGCTCATGGGACATTCATGGCAAAAATTTCTGATGTGAGCTGCATATTTCATAAAAATATTTTTATTGGATTGCGACTAGTGACAGCTGTTCGCTCACTCAGACACAGGTCAAATCGCGAGTCTGACCGTGCCGAACTGAGTAATATGTTGGTAAGTTTGAGCCTGAGTGAGAGTGGTTGACAAACAGTATAGCGAGTCCCAATTGGTTCTGTTGAGCTAAATTTAAGTTAATTTGAGTCCAAGTGAGTTTCCATGGTGAAATGTATTTCTTGAGTGAGTTTAAATAGGTTCCACTTTTTCTACCGGCCTATGGCTGCTGCTCTCAAACATCAACACTTAATCCTTGGGCAGCATTGAAGTAGCTGCAGCCATTCAGCCCTCATGCCTGCGATGCAGGATCGTTTTACTGAGGCAGGGTCTCGTTTCAGGAAAGGATGAGCCAGTTTTCCACACACAAATGTCAAACATTTAAAATTAAAGTAATTTTAAATAAAAGCAAAACAATCACACTGAAACTGCATCCATTACCAAACTACTAAGACAAGCATAGCTTTGTAATAAATGAAGTTCTGCTGAACATTTGAAACAAAAACAGTCACTAGTAGTTTTAATGCTGGTGTCATCCACAGTGGCAGACTCATTCTTTGCAGGTGTATTTGTTGGCTGAAGCAGATGAGAAGCCCAATTCACCCATAAGTCATGGGCAGAAGTGCTTCAGTCACAGTGTGAAAACAATCTCCAAATGTGAGCAGAGAGATCAGAACATCTGATAGATAGAGCTGCAAGAGACAGGATGTCCCTTGCAGCTTCTGTTTCTTCTTTCTTTGTCTAGTTGTAGTGCTGTTTATAGCAAGTTCACGGCGTATTAACAAGCCTGCATTAACACTTTATATCAGACAGATCTACCCATGCATGCACCATGGTGGCTGGTCATTGCACCATCGTGGCTGGTGACCAGAAGCAGGAACCCGCTCGCGAACCTAGACGGCTGAGTCAGCCTCCCAAAGGCAGGTCAGGACCAGGACATGATGGCTGGCAGCAGGTCCTTGTTACGGTCTCATGAATGGTAACCAACATGAGCACTGCACTGATGTTACACGTACATCACAATGTCTAAGTATATGCACTGAGTTAAATTTGGGTGATGTGTAAAAACCACTGGCCGCTAACAGCAGCAAAAATATGGTTGTCACTAATATAAACCATGACTATATGCCTGTTGGTCCGCGGGCATAACTGCCTGTACCATGATATGAAGCAGCTTTGTGCAACTTCACATCATGAAACGTTTCTCTATCCGCCACCCGAGAACGCGCTCTGTAGTGGTCAGGCTCCGCCCAGAGACTTAGACAATATGAAACTAATACAGGCCATGCTGAACTGCTGCCTCAAACTGCAGCCAGTATAATGGAATCAAACTTTGCCATAGCAAACATTTAGTCTTTTACGAGAAATGATGCTGTTTTCTAGGAAATGTTTAGAATATGAACTATTTGTTAATGCATTAGGAACATCTTACATTGTAATACAATCACATAAAATTTATTTACAGTTGGAAAAGTAAATTTTCACCAGCGGCCCGCATTAGCTTTCATTTTGCCGAAGTATGTGTTTCCACATAGCACAGCTTAGAAAATGAAGTCAGGCATTTAATCACAAAGGAACAAATTTTCTTCATCTGAAAGGGACGCTAAAGGCAAAAAATTTCTCTTGTTCGAATGATGAGTGAAAGTTTAAGAATGCCTAACTGCAGTATTATCTACAGGGCTTAGTTCACCAAGAAAGGAGTAAATGTATGATAAGGCTCCAGTCACCCATGCCATATTCTGCGAACTCTGTAACTCTATAAAATGACGTAGTCGAGTCCCAGAAAAAGTAATTACTGAAACTGTCCACAGTAGAAAAGACGATTTCAGCGCATTAAAATCTGGTATGAAATGCCTATTTTTTATAAGTAAGGTTTAACGTCTCAAAACCAGCATATGATTATGAGAGACCCCGTAGTGGAGAGCTCCGGAAATTTCTACCCCCTAGGGTTCTTTAACGTGCGCCCAAATCCGGTATGACATGCTGCTTGGTTCTTTCTATTTTTTTCTTTGAACTAAGAGCCGCCGACAAGACTCATGGCTATCTTCAATCATCCCCCAAAAACGGGGGGGGGGGGGCAGTGAAAGTTCTCTCAAATTACCTACTTGTGCCACAGAAGTTTCTGCGAAGCTACTGACCGGTGTCTGCTCATAATAGCAAAACTTTCCTTCTACCATGCCTGCTACTACTGTATTTCACGCCACCTAAGGGACAAAATGTCAAGAAGACCTACTTGGAAAGTTATTTAAATACCAGTTGTAGCATGCTGACCACTTAATATATAACTTCTTTTTAAACAAGGCATTTTCTTAGCACGGAACAAACAGTGCACCACAAACAGTGCACCAACAGTATGCCTTTAGGGCCCCTTTAAAAGGTTTCATACATTTATATAGTTAAGCATCTAAAAAGGTTGCAACATGCTAGGATGCTCATGGTCCCTAAAATATACCGCAAAAATAATACGTTATTTACACAGTTCATTTCATTGACCGATAGGCATCAAAATTTATTAACTTTTCCTCAGACCACTTAGTTTTTAAAAGCAAGGTGCATATAGTATAATGGTTTGCATTATTTTCTGGATAAATAACGCCTGTAGAAAGTTATCTCACTGGATAACACGGACCAAAGAATGTCATTTTAAAATTCTTTGTGAGGCAGAAGAACTAAGAATGCTAATGATGATGACCGAGTATATTAATAACCTAGAGTTGGAATCTATAGAAAGGTCTCAAATCAGCAGCTATAGAACTATATGGTTTCAGTTTAAGGCTGATTTTGTTAATGGTTTAAACATGCAATATTACTTTGGAACAAAAAAGCAACTTGACTTTGGTTTTATTCTGGGCACTTGCATTGTAGCAATAGGGAAATGGACCATCTCATTGTCTGCAAGACATGATATTAAATGCCTGCGCATTAACGTCTTATCAAAAGCAACGGTGCACGGGTCGACGCCAGATGCAATGGTGAATGCATTAGCAATGGCAAAAACGCCACAGTCATAACAGTTCTCTTGACGCTGTACTGCCTTAGCGTGAATGGTGAGAGTATTAGAAGCTAGACTCATTATGTTCATAACTTGAGTTGCTACACTTGGCATAATGTCCTGGTCTAACGAATCATACAGAAAAACACTGTTTGTAGGGGCACCATAATTTTTCACTGTAACCCAATGCCCAGGAGTATGCAGAATTTGAATAAAGTTGTCTCGCTTCTCAAATGTCAAGCTCTCCCCAAGAAGAACATCCTGATAATTGCACAGACCAGGAAACTGACGCGAAATATTAAGTTGCGCTGCATTTACGATTGCATCTGACAGCCATCCCGTGCCTTGTAAGGCCACTAAATCAGAGAAACTTATTTTGTACGGTTTGCAATTATTTGGACCACAAATCGCGTCAGCTATGGGGTCACTAATTTCTTCCACTGTTCTACCAACGACTGTCACAGGTGCCTTTTCTTTAAATTGAGAGTTTTTCAAAACATGCAAACGTAGTCTTTTTTCTCCCCGCTTCGTATCATGTGCACATCTCTTACGTGGTCGGCCGCGAGCGGATTTAACTAGAGGTATGCTAAGCGCTGTCAGTTGCTGTGCAAAATCACTAGGCGAAAAGCTAGTGTCCGATGTCTTTGCTAGAACCTGACATACCTTATCATCATGCGAGGCTATAGTAAAGTTAATTTCATCTTTTGAATCAGATTTAACTTGACCAGATTGCACTTTCAGTTCCGATTTATCTTCTGTGGAGCCCTTCTTCATAGTGCCATCATCTACAGACTTGGCCAATAGATAGTCGTTCAGGTCTACACTCCACGAATTACTTACTTCTTTTGACTTTTCTAAGCTTTTTCCTTCCCCACTAACTGGTTCATTACTTTGTGCTATTTTAGGAAGGGGTGAATCATGTTTCTAATTTCTAGGGTAAGTAACAAGATTTTGGAAAAAGTCCTCACACTCGCTCAATTTTTCGCAAAGTTCAGTTGCGCTACATTGGGCTAGTACATTAGCCACTTCCTTTGAAAGTTCCAACAGACGTGCATATGCATATTTATATCTGGCCTCTGAGTTATCAAGTTCTGGCTGTACCTTTTTTACCATGCTTGTGGTTAAAATGCTTAGTTTGTCTGGTGACACTGTCTGGTCGGTCTGCACAAAATCAGATTTAAGCCAGCACTTTGACACACAACTTTCATCAAACAGTTCCATATTATTTTTTGATCTAGCTGCAAGAATGTGCCTGCAGGGCAGCTGGTACTGCGCATTAAATGTGCATATGCATGTCCTCATATTATTAGTAACTTCATAAAGCTTACTGCCAACAAAAACGGTGCATTTGCCATCACAGACAACACAGTATCCTGGATATTTCATAAACAGCCCATATTCTTTACATACCAATTTTCTAGCATATTCGGTGTATTTTGCTGACACCTCACTGCAAAACTTATCAGTCTTACTGGTGTCAATGCAAGTTCTCATTTCTTTATATTGCATATGGCTGAGTGCTAGAGCATCGTGGGTTACATACCTTATCAGAGCTTTCACTGCTTCCACTAAGCGCATGTCACGTGTTAGATAATTTTTAACTTTTGATTATGGCTTTCCATTCGATTGTTAGTATTATTTCCTAAACTACATGCATTTGCACGATAAGCATGAACCCACATGATCTTGCAGCTGTGCCAATTTTCTTAAAAGTACTGCACAAGGGCTTTGTCATTTTCAAGTGCTTTTTCCAAGTCCTGCAAGTGCCTTTGATATATATCTACGGTATGTGCAAAAACCAGTTTCGTAATTATATCTTTAACATACTTCTTATCTAGACTGTTTGACTTATGCTGCATCACTTTCGTGTGTAAGTACTTTAACACGTGCCACGAACACAACAAGATTCTACATTTGGCCAGAAGCTACTGAATTATATTCATTTCATTTAAATCTTTGTCCATTACCACAATTGTGCACTTCTCCTCTACGACAGGATTCAAACAAAGGAATGTCTCTAGGAAAGACTAATATTTCTGATGTCTCCCGCTGAACAAATGCATAACATACAGGCCTCCCATGGCTTGTTCCATCTTCACACAGAATCGAATGCAAGATATACCCTTCTTTATTAACTTTATACGTACCATCAAAGAACAACACTTCAGGGTATTTTTCTAGTAACTGGGCCGTATGCTCTGATTGAAGCAATATGTACAAGAGACCATTTTCTGTATTCTTTTCAATATGAACCTTCCACCCAGAGTTTTCTGAAAACAATTCGTTGATTTTTTCTAACAGAAGGGCTCCATGATGAGCATTGTCCTGAATTTTTAGAACTGTTCTATGCTTCATGTTTATAATATCACGAGAAGTAACGTGTTTTCCCGTTTTCCTCAGAATGGCATCCTTTAGGTCTTTAGGTTTCACATTACAAGAAATCAACTCCTGAAATTGCTCTTTTTCAGAAGCACTTAATGCTCGATTATTATTGTACCATACAAAAATCTCGGGACCTATTTTATGGTTGTGCACATCCGCTAAATTTACAACTTCATAATAGGGCTGTGGAGAAACCCGCAGCGCAAGCTTAAGTTCAACGTTGCAACCTGTACCGTTGAAGCGTTGATTAGGTCGAATATTTTGTCCTCTCGGATTTGGATGCCCTGCGTGGCAACAGACAAATTTAACTCGAACATAAGGAAAGTCTGCTTTGTTTAAATCTTTTTCAGTACACAATGGGTTTTTATCTGATTTTTCAATACGCATCGGATGGAACCCTTCACTTTTCCATCCTTCAAAGCTAGCTTTACACTCCTTATAAGTGCTGAATGTGCTCCCTACAGAAAGATTTCCTCCACCTGTGCAAATATGGCTCTGTGACAATTTTGCTGAAGTTGCTTTCTGCTCACCACGAGGTGTGGAAGCGCTGGTGTCAGCTGCACTGCTGCCCTTGCACAGAACCACACCTTCTGACTGGGGGCTCACCGTGGATGTTACGCCGCAGGCGTCGGGTGGCCCACAGTCAGAAGGTGGGCTCTGCTCAAAAGCAGCAGAGCAAAGTGGCACGGCAGTACGCCCAGTCTTCTTCACTTTGTGCTGCATCCACACACCACCGACAAGTGCAGGAGCGCGCACAGGGTGCCGTTCTACTTGAGCGAAAACAGTCACAGCTGAAGCCCTGGTGCATGCCACTGCAGTTATTGGCAGCGAAGGGTACCCATGAGCAGTGTCTGTTTCTGCGACCTTAGGTGTCACTGACATCGCACTGTGACATTGTATGGAAGCAGAATCAGACTTCCGTGCAACGTCTGACCACATTTCTTTGCATGGAGATGCAGGGGCTACAACAAGCATAGGGTCTGTGGAAAGAGCTGGGAAATTAGTTACATTATTCCAATACTGTGCCAGCCCGTTTGACTGATCACTGTACAGGAATCGAAGCTTCTTGTGGTCCTTTTCTTTCTGGTGCTGCTGCTGTAATGCTCCATTGTGGCTTGCCTCAAGGTCCTTGCTTGCTTGCTTGATGGCTGCACGTAGCAGGCACCCCAACAGCTGGAACACAGAGGAGCACAGTTACAGTTGAACCCCTTCATAACGGAAGCCCCGAAGAATGAAGTTCTCATAGCAATGAAGAAATATAACATCCATGATGAACATTCATTGAGTACAAGATGTTTGCTCTCTCTCAACAGCGAAGAGATTTTAAAAGCACTCCCAAAATACATGTTAGTAATATGCGACTGTTTTAGACCCTTAAACTAGGTGAGAAAGTAGATGTAAAAAAATTGCAGCGGCACTCATTTCACAAGTCGGGCACTTGGGTATTTGCCAAAAGGCGTTGGTGCAACCACTGCTATTTACGTTGTTGAACAATGATGATAGCAAAATGACTTCTTTTTCTTCAAAAGAAGACTTTTTGCTAATGCTTCTGTTGGTAACTATGTCAGCACATGACATATAAAGTGCCATAATTTCGATAGATGTTCTGTAGACTGCCTAACTTCTTGCTGATGTGCTTCTGTCCAATTGCATGCCAAGACCTCACAGAAATTGCTTACGTACAGTGTTGTTTGGCATTTCAGCTTCAATGGAGCGACACCAGGTGCTGTTGGTCTACATGACTTTGTGTGAGCTGATGCCGACCTGATTGCATGCGAGGAGTTCTGCAATTTTCAGGTAACTCAGAAGGCAGCCACGTGACCCAAAATTTTTTCTCTGAGAAAAATTTTACCAGTTCACTATTTTAAACACAGTGCTCCAGCAAGATTTTTTTTTCCAATACATTTAAGATGGTTGCCAAAACGGCTGGGACGTTCGATGTATAATGATCCAATTACATAGATGACTTGCAGAATTTTTACTTTATATATCAGACATTGCTGCCCTGTTTTGGAAACAAGTAAGGCATATCAGACATCTCATTTTCAGTATTTCAATTAAGAGAATAAAATGGGCTAACATGGGTTTGATGAAATATGATCTGTGTTCATAACAATAACAGTAACAGTAGTATTGATCTTTCCTTTGATGCACAATAGGGAATTCACATTTACACCAGATGCTTGTCAACTCATGGCAGAGATAATGCACATAAGGGAGGTAACCTCACTGGCCTCCTTAGTAGTTCTTGTCAGATTGCTTATTCTGCACTTCTGAGTAAAGGAGCTGCGGTTGCGTAAAGGCTGTGCACCAGTGAGCTTACCCGTTGGCGCCTCTCAAATATACTGTGGCAATGAACACACAGTAAAACCCGCTTATATCATTGGTAGCCGAAGTCGCAAATAGTCCCACTGCACGCGTCATTTCACTCTAATCAAATCATTTCGGAAGGCTCTACATGTGCAAAACATGACTAACAGGCAGCCGCTCGATTCCGACGATCTAAGCATGCAACTTATGTTCAAAGGTCGTCCGTGGACCTGCAGTGCCAACATAACGAATTAACTCGGGAAAAAACTAAAAAGGCCGTAGCGGAATGCCGCTAACTAAATTCTCCAACGTCCACGTTTACGTGGCCTTCACCACGCGGTACCACACTACGTGGAAATTATACGTAGGACGACTATCACAGCTACACACGCCTAATTTCACCTAATTTTATCTTCCGCGGGCGCTTCCGATGAAGCACGTGCACTGTAGCGCTGCAAGCACGCTTGCGTTTTCTTGGAGGATTGAATTCGTCCCTTCTAAATGCAACAATTGCAATATGTGTCGTTGACTCGTCGCTAACCCGTAACTTTGATCGTCCGCAGCTGCTACCGACTAGGCAGCTAGCTCCTTATAACATCCACATTAATTGCTTACCTGGCTACCATGTTTCGTCGGGTGCACGCCGTCAGCCTTCAGCATCCCCATCAGCTCGCATGTGCCGTCCACGAAACCGTAGTTGTTCTTGTGGCACAGCGCCTGCAAAATGGCATTCGTCTCCCCGGCATCCGTGTTGAACGCCTCCAATTCTCCGACAGACAGCACCCACTGGCGCTTGCGCAAACTCGCTTGTCTCGGCAGAATTGCAGACACTACAACACGGATTGACGGATTGACATCAAGAATTCTGGAGATCAGTGATCGGAACCTGGCAATCAGCACGAGGGGTTAATTCTTCACCGACATTGTTAGTGCCAACGTGAAGAACGACCACGTGCACATCTGCCAGAGAATGAGCAATTAAAGAGAACAATTTCTCGATCCACACACCACTGAATGAGCGAACCTCGACATGTGCCCTGGAGCTTAATGTGAAAGACCCTGCGAGGTACTTCAACATTGAGTCTTCGGCAACGAGTGCACGGGTCATGTTAGGGTTGGCTTTTCAGCAGCCGCACACGAACACTTCAAGCACACTTAGACAGAGAAATAAATGCGAACAAAATACAACGCGAAAAGTGCAACAGAATTGACAGGCACAACTGGAAGATCACATGCAATCTCCAACACAATACGGTAGCAGAATCCGCCGGCTGTCAACGGTTAGAACGGTCCGCACAGTCAACCGCACAACCAACGCCGACTGCGTTGACACAACTGACCACCACTGAACAACGAGGGCAGTAGGTCCATTCGATTCACCTGCACCAATTGGAACCAGTTCACGACTGTGCACGCGAAGTTCAGAAATTGTGCAGCGTGAGTTCAGCGGTGCAGGCACAGCGCGACCCCCCGAAACGAATGACGATGAGCCAGCAGTCTACGCCGTACAGCTAACACTGAACGATGGCGAACCACACATGTGGACAGTTTATGAGGCGCAAACATATTGGCGAAACACACCGCGTTTGTAGAGGTGGGTATGAAGCCTAAGCTACCTACGCTAAAGTGCTGCATCGTCTGCTCAGCTGCACATGCGGCTGCACCAAGCCACCACCGTCAGTGTAGGTGGTGCAGGAAAATCTTGAACCAGTGCTGCCCCTCTTCTGCACCTTTTAAAACGAATGACAGAGTTAAAAGGTCGTCAATGCTGCACCGCTGAAACGAATGACAAAGTGCAGCACCCTGTGAACTGGTTCACATGGTGCAGGCGAATCGAACGGACCTAGTGCTAGGGAACAAAGTTCCGAAATGAGAGCTTTTGCCGATATGCTTTCTGCGCGCGCCAAAGGCGGGCGCAAGGCAGTATGGGAAGGCGAAGCGCAAGCCGCTGCAGGGCTTCGGCCGCCGAAGTTTCGTCTGCTCGACTTGCACCCTTGCTTGCAGCGCGTGGGAGCGTGTTGCGCTGTTGCAGCGCGTGCATGCGAACACGTGGGTTTGTGAGTACGCAACGTACACATACCGATAAATCCACCGACAATAGACAGGATGCAGTATATTTGGTTCCTAAATAGATGATCAAAAACTCGTTAAACAGGAATGGCTGTGTAGCTGGGCTGGGTCGTCCGGTGCTTCCTTGGTAATTTTTCATGGCAAATTCTGGTATCTATGCGGCGTCTGCATTAAAGAAAAAGCAGCGTTAGGTGTCAGTGAAAATTCGAGGTATGAGCTAGCCGGAGGACGTTTGCACCTTTATGTTTTCCTTGCGGCACACAGCCCTTGCAGGAGCGAAACAGGCTATCAATACAGAGTTTCAGTGCGGCGGCTCCAAGGGGCTTGCGTACATGAGCCCTTGCGTTCTTTTGTATTATCCACAGGTGCGGCGGTGAGTTCAAAGAAACGCGATAGCGTGCGCGTGCTACAGGCAGCTAGCGGTACCCGACATTAAAACGCGCGTGTGCACGCACGCGCGCGCCCGTGTGGATGCGGATGCTGCTATCGGGTACACACACACACACACACACACACACACACACACACACACACACACACACACACACACACACACACACACACACATCATATATATATATATATATATATATTATATATATATATATATATATATATATATATATATATATATATATATATATATATATATATATATATATTCTGACTTTCACGTGTGTTTAACTTTGCGCATTAGGAAATGGATGTGAAGAATCATTGTGGCTGACAGCGCTAAGACTCATTCATAGAGTATAAGTGGACATGGCGCACTGCGCAGTGCTTTATAAGCGCTGTGCCATGTCCTATCGTGTAGCTCAACAAAAGAAATACTGAATGCTGCATGTAACTGCAACGCGCGTCCTCGCGTCATGAAAGCATGCATGCAGTTCCAAGTGCATAAATGGAACGAATTAACGCACATGTGAAGAGCAATACGAAAAGCTCTTTCACAGCATGCAGATTATCAACAAAAAGGCGTCATACACAAACAGCCTTCTTGTGATTGGTTAAACCTAGGAAAGGTAATTCATATTTATTTTACCGTTGCTGTTTTACAAATGTGAGTAAAGATATTACAGGCGAAGCATTTCTTCTATCTATCTATCTATCTATCTATCTATCTATCTATCTATCTATCTATCTATCTATCTATCTATATATCTACCTGTCTGTCTGTCTGTCTGTCTATCTATCTATCTATCTATCTATCTATCTATCTATCTATCTATCTATCTGCCCCGCCGTGGTGGTCTAGTGGCTAAGGTACTCGGCTGCTGACCCGCAGGTTCGAATCCCGGCTGCGGCGGCTGCATTTCCGATGGAGGCGGAAATGTCGTAGGCCCGTGTGCTCAGATTTGGGTGCACGTTAAAGAACCCCAGGTGGTCAAAATTTCAGGAGTCCTCCTCTACGGCGTCTCTCATAATCATATGGTGGTTTTGGGACGTTAAACCCCACATATCAATCAATCTATCAATCAATCTATCAATCAATCTATCAATCAATCAATCTATCTATCAATCAATCTATCTATCTATCAATCAATCTATCTATCTATCTATCAATCTATCTATCTATCTATCTATCTATCTAGCCGCTCACGTCTGGGTGCTCTCGAGATCACCTCCTTTACTTGGCGTGAACCAAAATTAGTATGGGAGAGTTCCATAGTTTGACGAATACGACGCGCCGGTGAAGACATGAATAAGGTCACAATCCTGTTACGCGCGTCGTCAAACGCTTCCTGCTGAACAGTGACACATACCCACGGGCGGCTATGTGCCCCAAGTAATTGACACTTAATTTTTAGCATCTACCCAGGAATGACGAGGACACACGTGGAAAATTTTGACGCGTGAGCATTGAGAAATTATGAACCATTTCCCCGAAGAGAATTCTGCTGGGATGCGAAGCAGCAGTGGTGCCCACGTCGTTGGCCCAGTTGAAACGGGCGTCGACGCGGGTGCTGGAAGAACGGCTGGAAGCGAACTCGGTGTAATGTTTACTCGAGTAAACGTTTGTTTGAAACGCAAAGACATGGGAGGCGGGTTGGGTTTCGTGTAAGTTTCATCGCAGATAACGAGCTGAAAAAGTGTTTCCACTCGACGTGCGGTCGAGCGTTGCGGGTGGTGGAGAGGGTGAAGTGGGAGAGATGTGTGTTATGAGTGGGTGGAGGAGCCGGCAGCTGCTGCGGGTGAGACGTCAACGCGCAGCTGCGACTTGACCTACTTGGCAGTGCTCCAATACCTGCGGCGAGAGAAACGCGCTGCGGTGCGTTCGCACGGACGTACGTACGGCGTTAAACACGTCAGTCAGAGATGCTTCGCATCTAAAAAGCCTTACATCGGCAGCGCTGACCCGACGAATGCAAAGAATAAATGTCGCGGTCCCATCAGGAATCGAACCCAAGCATTCTGCGCGGCGCTCAAGCATATTATACAACAAAGCCACGCCAGATCTCGGACCTACTTTTCAAATAGCTTAATACCTTAATATGGTCATGAAACGTTAATAGTGGTTGCAGTGGTGGCAATCCAGCTTTATAAACATTACATATGTACTCCTATGATGCAACTGTGATATCAGGGTTGACGTCAATTGTTGCTAGGTGCCGTGCACTGAAGTTGATTTATGCAGCAGCGTCCAGGGCTACCATCCTCACTAGCACCAGCACTTCATACCAGCTTATTGATTCTGGTGTTCCTAATGCTCAAGTTCATGTTTGCATCATTGCACAAGTGCAAAGAACTGGTTATATAAACACTTGGAATTCTTCAATGTATGTCTGTGTGTGAAACATTTGGACGTATATTTGGCATAATTTCATGACGTGCCGCTATAAAAAAATCACAACATGGTCACGCTAAGCATGCCTCTGCATGCTTCGCATAATGTCGATTCCGGAGCTACGTGGAATATGCTGAATTTTTCAGAAATATCCTTGGGCAAGACGTACTTTCGGCACGAATCTTGACATAAGTATGTGTCAGTTTTTTACAAGAAAATGTAACTCTTAAAAATGCCGATTACCATATTTTTAATTGTATAGTCAGTGTACTTAACATTTTAAGCAGTACTCTCGTTTATATTCATACAAAACACAGCTGTAGTGTATGGCTCATAGTTGAGGAAAATGCTGGCAAAGCACAACTTGCACTTTTGCAGTTAAGACGACATAACTTAAGGGCCCACTGAAGGTTTGTGTTATGCATGGTGTACTACTAAGTTATTACCGTTACTTCGTGCGATCAGGCTGACATTATGATCTGTGCATGATACAGCTCCTCAGCTGCACGATAGTGATTTTCATTGCAAAGCTGTTTTCTGGCACGACAGGCATGAGAATTTTGGGACAGGATGTGACAACGAGCATGTACGCTAAATCTGAGTGCGCCGTCAATTCAGTCGATCTGTGTATAGGAGCGAAAATTTAGCCAGGTAACGGTAAAAGGTGACGCATAGGGAAAAAACGAGGAGCCCTCAAAAATGAGGGCGAGAGAAGTTCAGTGTGCGTGTGCCTCCTTCTTTCTCTCTTTTCTTCTCTCTTTCTCTTTGAGAGCTCACCTTTTTTTTCTTGCTCTGTTCCCTGTTTTATCTTTCCTCTTTGTTTTCTTTTCTGCCTTTGGATGCATCACTTTCTACATTCTTTCCTTTCCACGTGAAAATACTCCACGGTTTCAGTTCACTTTAACTGAAACCATGGCTGTATACAGCTGGGATTAAGTACAAGCCAACACATTAGCAACATGTTCCAGTTGGTCC